ACAAGTAATGAGCTGCATTTTTGATTTCCAAACCTTGCGGGAGCAAATCTGCCTATGACCGACTGCTAATGACTTCCTCTTTCAGATGAGATTTCTCTAGCGCAAATGTGTGTTTTTATGTGGCTTGAGGAAATTTCTGGCATTGACACTCCTCTCGATCGCTGCTGTTTCGGGTCACGAGCTCAATTAGTCATCTGGCAGCATCTCAGCTCTGCTTTCTCCGGCCGTGCACCGGGCTGCTGCCTGGAGAGGGTCTTCTCTGGCAGAGAGCCAGAGGGCAACGCAAAGGCTGCGCTGGGGGCTACGAAACCCTGTTTGATCACTCAGTTCTGCAGGCTCGTCCAAAGCACAGTTGAGGCTCCCTGGAGTTATAACTGGAGTTACTCTGCAACATCTGTGTGATGTTTTTCACCGTAAGGTAAGAGATTAAAAGCAATTAAACCACAGAGGCAAGAGGGAGAGCGCGCTGATAACTTGACACTCTTGACTGATATCTTTCTTCTGGTATTGAAAGCTCTTCCCAGCTTGGGAAGGCAGTGCTGTTTTGTGTGCACCCTGGTGCTTTGTGCTGCGTTACGCTGCTCTGAGCCCCTTTCTCCTGCTTCCCTGTTCCCCCTTTGCTCCTGGATGCTGAGGACACTGGCAGTGCTGGTTCTGTGCAGCCTGATAAAGCAGAGCCTCAGCCGAGTGGAGTCTGCAGGTGTAACTAATGCAAGTGAGCCCAGTTTCTGTGAATTGTTAATCCCCGTTCCAGTCGAGACATGTACGGATAGAAGAGGTAAAGTCTGTTTACAGATGGAGATCTGTGGCTCGTGTGCAGTTGTGTGATACGCTGGTAGGGAAGCAAGGCAGTGCTCATGCAGGCGGCTTTGCTGACCTCATTAGTTAAATCTCTGCTGTCATAGCGTTTTCCTGAGTCGTTTCACCTGGGCCTGGCAGCACTGGGCGGCTGGATGGAGAAGCGAGGCCTGGTCTGTGTTGCAAGTGTTGGCTGATGGCAGCACCGTCCTTAGAGATGCAGCCACGTGGCACACGTGTGCAGCACTGTAGCGTTGTCAGCTTAAGACGTGAACCTTTTCTGATGGCATTTTTGCTATTTCCTGAGAGCAGATTTGACAGTCAGATCCCCCTCCCCAGGGGCCACTATGGTCATAGGGCTGTTCTCCCTTCCTGGTGAGAAGTTCATAGTGGGTGTTACAAGATGCAGCAGATATTCAGGGGGGTTGCAGGAGCTCTTGCCTGTGCCTGGGAGAAGGGAGGGTGCCACAGATGCCTGGACTCGTCCTGCTCTGCCAGCTTGTGCCAGGGCAGTCTTCAGCTTGGCTCTGAGGAGGCTGTTTTGCACTGGCACCTCCAGGCAGTGTCTTTTATTCAGGATCCAGCAAAGACTGTTTTGTTTTCAAAACCCACGTGGACTTGCTGCAGCCAGACTCCTGGACCTTATTGCTCTCTGCCTCTTATGCAGCTTTAGCTGCTGCAGCCGCCTTTCCCGCCAGCGTGGGCAGCCATCCATCGGGATGTCCGGCCGGTCCAGCCGCTAGCTCCCAGCTGGAGGATCCCGTGGCACCCCAGGGAGCGCCCGTGGCTCCTTCTCTCGGATCCTGGCTCCGCTGCTGCGGGCCGGAGGAGGTCAGATGTGCTCGCGAGCCTCTCGCCGGCCCCGGTGCCAGATGGCGGCCTCGGCAGCGGCTCCTCATCCCGTTCCCGCTGGCAGGGCGCTCCAGGGAGCAGCGCGGCAGCGGCTCCTGCCAGCTCTCTCGCAGCACCCTGCGGCTGGGGACTTGTTCCAGTGCAGCAGACTGGGGCGTGGGTGCTGGGGGTAAAGTCGTCTGCAGTCTGTGCCCTCTTTGGCTGGTATTTTGGGTGATTTTCCATGCATCTGTGGCTTGTTTGTAGGACTCCCAGGAGGTAGAGCCGGGGCTCTTCAGCGCTAGTGAAGGAGGGATCTGCTGGCATTTGAATTGCTGTGGATGGAAACGGCAGGAGGGAGCCAAGCCCTGTTCCTGGGGACACCATCACTGACCTCATCCCTCCAGGCAGCGTTTCCTGAGCCCAATACTTGCCCTAAGGCCTGGGCCTGGGTGCTAAAGTGCAGGGTTTGCAGGTGTCTTCACCCCCTCCGCACTTGCACTGTCTTTATGGCAAACTCTTACTCTGCTACTTCAAATGATATAATTAAATTGTGAGAGCTGGAATCCTAATTATCCTCTCCCCTGTGAGAAGACTGCTCTTCAGAGAGAGGCTGTTGGCTGGGATTCAAAGGAGGTGAATCTCAGCACAGCGATTGCATCCGTGTTGATGTTTACTCTTGCTGAGGATGAGAGGCATTACCAAGTAGTATCAGAGCAGGTTGCTCTTTGCAGGTTACTGTTATTTTATCTGCCTGTGCACGAAAGCAGAAGAGGTCCATCGTTGCTGTTTCTGTACATCTCTTTTCTGCTATTTCAGAAAAAGAAATACAAAAACAAAGAACACATTAGCAGAGCATCTGAGTTGGCATGTGCAAAAATCCACACTGATGCATGAAAAATTTACTGATGCATATTTAGATGTTCCCTATTCTGGGGATTTGCTGCTTTCCCATTCCTTGCATCAGCGCATAACAGACTGAATTCCCCATGCACTGGGGCAGAGAATGTGCCCAGTAAATAGTAAGAGGCTTCCTGGCACCGACTGCTGCTTTCCTTACCTGTGGTAATGGATGTGCACCCAGGCGGCTGCACAGATCTCTGCAAATGGAGCAGCCTTGAAAGCAGGCAGGGCTTAGAGGCTGTTTCTTTCATGAAACAGCTGTTCTGATCTTTCTTTTTTAACAGAAACAGATGCGAGCAGGAAAGGGGATGGTAGGAATGGGAATGGTAAGAGCTGCTAGCAGCTTGCTTGCATGCACATCTCATTTGAGTACTAATTTTTTGTAGTCTTTTTCAGTTATAACCCTTGTAAAACTTTCCTAAGATGTGTAAGTCTCAGGGTCGTAAAGTGACAAATAAGGGAGAAATCCCTTTCTCCCTCCACCCCCAGAATTTGAGGTTGCAGCGATTTGGTGTCAGAAGTGGCAACAGACTCGTCCTGCCATAGGTTTCAGTCCTCCAATTACTGGTCCCAGAAGAAAGGCCCAAGAACAAGAACTCTTCACATCCCGAGGCCAGGCCTGTCACAGAGGTATTGCTGCTGTTCTTCTTCCCTTGGGCCACCTACTAATGTTTTTCTAGGTGAGGTGCTGGCAGCTGGGTTTGGTATTGAAGGCTCTCACCACAAACTGTCTGCTGCAAACCAGCTTCTGGGTGGAAGTCTAAATCCAGGCTATTTTGTGTCTAAATCCAGGCTATTTTGCATCTAAATCCAAGCTGTTTTTTTCCTACGTAGTTTGGTGGCAAGGTGAATGTGTCAGCTGTTCAGTGGGGACCTGACATATTTTAGCTTCCTCTTCCACTGCAGTATGGAGAAAAGAAAGATGCAGGAGACGACAGGATCCTTGTTTGCACTCCAGCCTCTTGGGGAAGCCAAGGAAATGCATTTATAGATCAAGACAACAGGCCTTGGTTGCACTCTGGCAGTGCAGAACACACTGAGTAAGGCTCCTTGGTACTTCAGTGCTATTGAACTCGTGGATGCTCCTTGTTGGTGAAGCAGTTGCATGGTCTGTTAGCTCCCTGAAATGCTAAGTTTAGTCTTCAGTGAACCATTCTGATCTCATGTATGGGGCCCTAGGCCCCCTCTTCACTTCCATCTACAGCGAGTACTTGGGAAATGTCCCCACGAGGGCTCTCTCCTCTGCAGCGTGCCGCACATGTGCTGTGTGCTGTTCCTCACGCTGCAGAAAGGCCCCTGGAGAACATGGGGAGAATTAGCTGCCCACGTGTTATTTGGTGGGGTCCTTGCAACTCTTGCATCTCGGCTTCCTAAAGCGTCTCTGATCAGTTTAAACTTGATAGTTTTCAGTGTTTTCATTTTCTAAATTGATTGATCTATGCGGAAGGCACAGGCTGTCCTCTGCTGGAAACAAGTTTCCGAGCTTTTTAATCTTGCTGTTTAGCAGTGCAAGGAATAGACTTGCCAATATGAATCTTCCGTTTTATTTATTTAGTAGTTTCACTCTTTTCTCATTTTGGTCTTTGATTTCCTTCGTATTTGTACCGGTTTGAAGGACCCATATAGCTGCACTTCTCCCTCATTTAGGACAGCAGTTAGGTCTCCTAGGCTCATCCTGCCCCCCACCTAAGCCTCTCACGGCCCTTCTCTTATCTTTTCCTTAGCTTAATCTGGATTGTGCTGGAAGCTGTTTGCTCCAATTTACAAATCCCTCCACAGGGTCTACTCCCTGCTTCTGCTTGCCTGCTTTTCCAGGAGCTGTGGCTGATGGATCGCTCCTCCACTTGTCAGATGTGGCCAGGAAATGCCTCCTTTATACCTAGAGCAAATGGGAGGGCTGGCCTGGCCAAAGCTTGAATAGTTTTTTTATTTTGTGGCACCTCTTTAAAGCCAGCTGCTCTGCATCTGAAAGCTCTTGCCCTGGAGAGATCACAAGATGCTTCTTTTAGTTGCAAAGTTCTTTTCTGCGAGACACAAAAGCTGACGGCTCCTCTTCTTTGTGTCCTTTCACAAGCACTGCTCTTTGACCCTCCTGTAATGATAACATTCTTGAAAACTTGAATTCTGAATTTTCTGTTCATCTCATAGATGCCAGGTCTGCCTAAGTAGTCAGACATGCTGGTTCGAGGACTCCTTTTCTACAGGATAGGTTCTGGTTTTGGAACCTGGCCATGGATTTGTTTTAACATAATCACCTTGTCCTGACCAAATAAAATGTGAGTTTAAATTGACTATTGCAGATTTCTATAATGCTGGTCCCACAAACTTAGCGAGAGAGCTTCTAAACTACTATTAGTTGCAACCAATTGCTAGTAAAGAAGCAAAGTAATAAGTTTTCACTACTGAATGCTTTGATTTTTTTTCTTTTTTTTTGTAACCACTTTTCTTCCAATATGTGTTTTTTGCAGTGATACTGAAAGCCGAAAATTATGCAAGAAGATGAAAGTAGATCCTAATTCAAAGGAGAAAGGAGTGGAATTACTCCATTATAAGTGAGTGCTGGGCTGGGATTTGTAGCTGCTAAATTGTTGATGCCCCTGTTAGGACTATTCACTCTCCTTGCAGCTCCATGAAAACTTCTTTCTTTCTTTATTTTCTCCCTTTGACATTTGAAATTGTTTGCTGTTTCTTCAGTTTTTAAGCATGTGTTACATAGAAGTTGAGATAAACTTATGTTGCTGTTGAATAGAGTGCACTGAAAGCACGAGCTGAGCCTGGGAGAGGTGTCTAATGGGCTAGAACCCATGGGCTTGAGTGTTTCTGCTTTGTCTGGCACTTGCCCACTGGCTTGTGCCTTGGGCAGGTTGCTTCCAATTTGTGTTGCCTCCTGTCCTTTTTGCAAAGTACTTGTCTTGCTCCAAGTGAAATGAGAGAGTTTTTCTCGCTGGACATAACAGGGGTTACTGCAGATGTAGGAGACACCAAGTAGCTGCATCGCCAAAGAACCTCTGCTAAGGGCATGATCCTGTTAAAGCTTCAGAGTAAAAATTTTACTAGAGACTTGCTCACTTTCTACTTGATTTTATTTCACCCTTAGTTTTTCCTCACTCCTTTTTCTTGACTTTGCTTAGTTCTGTGGCTTTGGCTGGATAATTTTGTCCTGGTTAGTGAGATACCTGGGAGAACAGCTGCATGATTCCTAGCAATGCTATTCAAGTTAACACTATTCCCCACTCCTTATTCAACAGGGACGGTGCATTTCATACTGAATATAACAGAGCTGTCACATTGAAGGTAAATTTAAATATTTGATTTTTTTTTGTTCTTTGCTAGATATGGGGGAGATATTTGTGAATTAAATACGGATGATACCGTATTTTCTGTGCTTCATGTTAAAGACAGAAGAGGAGGGGGCTAATAGTGATAGGTAGCTGTCAGAATGACCTAAAGATCATCTGTCAACCGCAGACTCAGAAAAGCTGGGATTTTAAGTATTATTAACAACACTGACCCTGTGTTAAACTAATGTGGTCTGTGAGCTGACTTGCAGCTTTGTAGCAAATAGGATTTTGTTTGTTTGTTCTGATTACAGGATGGCAGCATAACTAAAAGTATTAGCTGGAGTGCGTTTTGCTAAGGAGCTCTCTGGGCTTTATAAGACTTGTGTTTATACCCTTTAATATTTTAGGAGCTGAGTGGCCTTATCTTGGATCTGATTATAGAGAGTAGATTCCTATGGCTATGCTCTGGGTACAGCAGAGAGAAAAAGCTTGGAGGTCTCCTTCGAGCTTCGGCACAAAGCAACTGCAAGCGACAAGCTTTTCTGCAAAAGCAAGGGAAGGAAGAATATGTGAAACTTGAATGCTTGGATTTTACTGGCTACTGAAATGATAAACTGAAAGCACAGTAAGCAGACAGAGAAGTACATTGCCTTCCCATACGAGGCCCTGGTGGAGTCCTGTGATTCTCCTTGCAGGAACCTGCAGCCCTGGCTTGCAGGAAATGTTTCTGCTCGTCTCTGATGCAGAGTTTTCATTTCTCTTGCTTCTCCCTCTCAAGCAAACTCGGCCTTTGCGCCATTGTCAGTGTTGTAGAAGCTTCATAAAGTCAATCAAGGCTGGTGCAGTTACTTCTACTTCCCTTTTTTGGTTTGCTCTAGGGTTTAGGCTGGGATGAAGGTGCTGCACATGTGTGAGGTGCTGCATGCATCTGAGTCTGAGTGGCTGCTCCTAAGCATGTGCTCTGTACCTGGAGTTGTTGTGGGATGGATGTGTCCAGGGAAACCCTCTTCAGAAGGGCACGGTGGCTGTGTCAGCTGTTCAGCCTGAATTTGGCAGAATTATACGGTGTGCAGGCGTCAGGGGGCACAGAGGAGGCTGTATCTCTTCTATCTCCTGCAGTACAAATCTCCTCTGAGATAAAGAAGGGCAATGCAGGATACCCAGCCTAGTCAGCAAATTTCTGAGGCTTCTTGTGTAGTTCATAGGAGATGCACTTAAACTTCTTTTCCTCTTGGTGGGTGACAGAGCAACGGAGACTTATTAGTTGCTTAAATTTGGGGCTTAAACTCATCTCCTTGAAATCTCCTCTCTGCCCTCTATAGAGCATTGCAACCAGGAATTAGTGCTGTGATTCTTCATGACAGATAAGATCAACGGGATGGCACCTGCAGAGCCCCAAGGAGTGCTTGGCCAAGGTGCACTTGTAGCAAAACAGGAACAGTGTCACTTGCTCTTTTAGCTGCTAGTTTGTAATGTGCATTTTCCCCTTCCCTCGTGTCCTCATGTGTGTTTGCTGCCTGCTGAGGAGGCCGACGCAGCCTAGGCTGAGCCTGTGGTCAGGGAGGCAGGACTGTGGTGCAGGTGGAAGAGGGTTTTGGAAGCTCCTTCCCTGCCTCTGCATGCGTACACACTCCAAAAACCCAATTCCTTCACAATTTAACCATCCCCTGTGAAACCAGCCACTAGGAATTTACAGATTGGGCAGTGTGTCTAAATTTGACCCTGGTCACCGCACCCCTTTGATTTCTAACTTGTTCTGCTGCTCACAGCTATCTGAATATTATCTTGATTTCTCCCTCTGTGCTATGTCCTCCCTTTGTCTGGGACACTGGCAGTGATGTTTCGCTCTTGCCTTCAGCTATGTTTGCCAAGAACGTCCCAGTACATCCCATATAGTGAGCAGCAGAACAACAGAGATGCAGGGAGCATCAAACCCCTTCTGTGGACAGGTGGGCAGACTGAGGAGCAGAGAGATGAAAGGATTTGTTTCACAGTATTCAGCAAGCCAGTGGCAAGAAAACTTGGATCTAAGGTGGTATCTGGTAGATGTATTAACTCGTAGGATGTATGGGAGGATAATGCAACGGGCTCTGAGGAGGCAGTGCTTTGGAGCTTTTAGAAGAGTTCTTCTGAAGTAGTCAGCAATTGCATAATTTGACTGATCCTGCTGATAGTGTACTTGGATTTTGAGGAGAGCTTTTCATTTCTTAAACTAAATCCTTATGTAATTAGCAGGGATCCTCTTGTGGGTTAACTGTTAAAAAGATGAGGAATAAGGACTGGTTCAGGGTTCAATTCAGAGGGAATTTATTAGTCAGAACCTCCTGCTGCGGACACTTTTGTTGGCATCTGAGCTGCTCAGGGTATCTGAGAAAGGAGGTGGACAGCAAGATGGCAGAATTTGATGCAAAATTACCATGATTAGGTAATTTTTTTTTTTTTTAAGACAAACTTTTGTAAAAAGCTGGGAAGTTTGATGACACTGAGCAGTTTAATATGAGTGCAGGGTAATGAACATGGCATGAGGAAGGAACAGAACCTGCATGTGCTGGCGTAGCAGTGCCCTGTTGTGGGTTTGGAGTTGCCTGTCAACACAGTGGTTGCTCTGCAGCCTTGGCCCTGTGCTTAGACATAGTTAAAAAGGCAGATGAATAGAAAATACCTGAATCTGTTGGGTTCTTCATCTTGTACCTTGTATGTGATTCTGGTTGTCCCATCTATTCTAAAGGCAGAAGAGCATTTCAGAAGGGTGGGAAGGATGACTGGACATATGGATGGTTTGATATTTGTATGAGGATTCCTGGAATTGGAAAAAGGACAACTGAAAAGAATTATGATAGGTACTTGTGCACTAGTGAGTAGTGTCAAAATGGGAATGATGATGTGTTTTTTTTCTCATAAATTGGGGGCACAGGAACATTTTGGGGTAGCTTATTTGACACAGTTGTAGTTTTTTTACATGATTGAATTTCTTTGTGGAACTCACCACTACTTACCTTCAGATTTTTAGCTCTGCAGTATTAAAACTGGAATTAGATAATCTAAGGAACAGGTCCATTAGCAACCCTGGTGATCCAAATAGAACAACTGACACAGAGTCCATAAACTCACCTATGGATTGCCAGAAATTGAGAACATTTATCAGTATACTCTGTATATTAGTGATCCGTGTGCAGTTTTTCCTCGGGTATCTGCAGCCAGCTGCTGTTGGACACCTAAGTTTAGATCAGGTCTTTGCAGGTATGTCTGTTCTTAGGCTGTTGTAGCTTCATTGCTTCCCCATCTTCCTTACTTCCACAAGACTGATATCCACGTTGTCTTCATTACAAGTTGAAGCCTTTCCTGGAGGGTAGAGTCCAGGGAAATATTTCTCTCCTAAAATGGAGAAAACTCATTAAAATATAAATCTGCTTAGTACTAACAAAGAGAATAGACTAACCCAATAAATTAGTCCTACTCTGAACTCTGAATCCTTTTCAAATTTGTTCTTGTAGGTTACTCATTAAAACTAAGCAGGGTGTGTGTGAGTGAAATCAAGAGAAGTGTGTTATTAGCATCCCTGCTGCATTCTGTTTTGCTGTGCTGAGAAGTACAGGGATGGATTTTTCCCCTCTTCCAGGTCATATAGGATACCCAGCTACTTTACTGGTAAAACTTGCTCGATTTCTGTGGGGTGGACTGTGCACAGGCACATCCCTGGGGGCTGCTGAATTGGGGTATGAGACTCAAAGCAGTTGCGTGGGCTCAAGCAGAGGGTTGGAGCCCAGCATGGCTTGTGGGTCCCATAGGGTCAAAGCAGGTCCTAGTCACACTGTGCTCCAACAGACGCGTAGCTGATTCCTCAGTGTGGGGTTGCTTGCCATGGCCTGGACCTTGCCCTGAACTCTGCCCCTGCACCCTGGGGACTGTTGATTTTCTGTGATTACAAATGTTATATTTTGTGGGTTTTTTTTTCTTCCCCTTTTTTCCCCAATTTAAAGGTGCAGATGAAATGCTAGCTCTTCACAGAGCACAGTATTGAGTGCAAGGCAATATACTGCCTATTCTTGCCAAAAGACATTACACAGCTATTTTCTTTTCTCTTGGCTGAGAGGAAGAGGCAGGATGAATTAAATCTCTTTAATCCCCCATCCTCTAACCACATCTGTTTCTACATGACTGAACTTGGCACACAGGAATTCCTGAAACTAGCAGAGTCAATCACACTCATTAGCCATTAAAATGTCGACCCCCTCTCTCCGTCTCCCTGCCATGTGTAGTTGAGGTCTGTGCAAACTGAGAATGAGCAGAACCATCTCCTGTGTTTTGTCCTCCTCTCCTCTTCTTTCACTGGATATTACTAAGTCTCCTTACAGCATTGGTTGGGATGCTATGCTTGTAGTTCTAGTGCTTTTTACAGCTATAACTTGATTTTTTTTTTTTCTGGTGAGCTCCTTTCTTTGCTAATGCCATATTAAAATAAATTTCTACTCTTTGAAGTGTCTGCAGTCCCAACACAACCAAACTCATCCCTTGGGTCTCCTCACTGGAGACATTTAACTCTCTTCTCTCTGGATATATTAAGTGCTTTGCTTGCTGTCTAGTGACTAATATATGTTGCCTCTTGTGATAAGACGAATCTCTTCAGTATTAGCTGAGTGGGTAGACAGAAACATTAATGCAGTAAATGAATCCTGCCATAAGCTCTGAATCCTCCCAAGTCTTGCAGAACCACCTGAGATGCAGGAAAATGAGCTCTGCTGAGAAGCTGTTGGGATGTTGTACCAGAGCAGCCTGACCAAGGGGTGTAGAACAGCCCCTGTGGGACTGTTGGGGTGCTGGGTGTCACCAGGTGTGCTGCTAACCTGCCCTGAGAAGGGCTGTGCAAACGTGGCCTTGAAGATGGGTGCTCTGTGTGTGCGTGTGTCAGTGCAAACACAACTATCCTTTATCAAACTGGGCAGAATGGGACCAGACTTAGCGGTGAATGAAAATAGCAATCTAAGTTTCTTGCTCCTTAGAGTACAGGATACAGTGAGTGAGCCTGCAGCTCCCACGTGCAGCTGGAAATGGGAGGAAATGCTGCTCACTGGAACCTAAAGAGTTTCATTGACTTCAGAGAACTGGAATTTCCCTCAGGCTCAGTCTGAAATCAGAATCACTCAAGTATTTCTTTATGATAAAGAGAATATCTGTGATGTGCCAAGTAGAGGTGGTGGGTTTTGTGTCAGTTGGTTAGAGCAGTTATGCATATGCCTGTACTGTGCTTGTGGAATAGGGGAGCTGCAGAAACATAGGGTTTTATAACGCCCACTTCTGTTGTCAGTTTTTCTTGTTACGCTGCTATGTAAAATCCACTGAGGGCATTTTCTAGGTAAAAGGGTCAGAGGGGGAACTGTTTATGGATTATTCTTCTTTTGACCAAATAGGCAGTTTGATCTGCAAGTCTGAATTTCATTGTCACTCGCAGTGAGCAAAAGCAGTGTGCCCTCCAAGGAGTCCTGCTGGATTCAAAGGTTACTTGGGAGCAGTGAAGGGCCTGGGAACCTGACCTCTGCATAGAAAGAAATACTTCCTGCTAAGCCAGGGAGTAGTTGTGGACATTTTACTGCTTTGGTACCACTGAAAGAGCCTTCTTGTAGTCTGAAGGAGCATTGAAGTTGCTGTCTGGGTGCTGGTCTACCTCTTCATTGCTCTCCACGATTTTAGAGTGGAAATAGGCACTGGTGGGGTGGAATATCAGTTGTGAAGAAGGTCTGCCCTTTTATTTTTTTCATATATCCTATCATTTTGTTCAGCAATTGAAAGTCTGTGTTCATCTCCAGTCTAGCAGAACTATAAGAGGAGAATAGCAAAGATGCTAATTGAAAAGTCATGGCTATTGTTCCCGTGACAGGAGGGATTTGGGATAAAAGGTCTTGTGGTTCTCATTCAGTTTGCTTTAAAAAGTGTTCTTTCCATTCCCTACAGTCCATGGTGGCCTTTCTGAAGGATCCAGAAGGTGCTCCGTTGTGGGAAGAGGATCCCGAAGCCAAAGATGTTGTGCATGTTGACAGTGAAAAGGTATATTGTCAGGGAGAGATTCAGTATGTTTTATGACAGTGTATAATGTATGTGAACTCCTAGTGAAGCACCACTATTTGCTTTCTTTGGAGGAGAAATTTAAAACACCCAAATTGTGACAAAAATTGTGGACTATGATAATACAGAGCAGGGTCTCCTGCTTGCTTCCCTTCTCACTTGCACATGTGGCCATGGTGTTAGGCTGCTAGTTACACAGCAGGTATCAAAGCATAGCAGATGCTGTGATTGAAGAGGCCTGTTTGTCTCAGTGATGTAGCATCCTATGGTAAAATAGGTACAAGTTGGAGAAAAATTACTATTCTTGTAGTTACAGGTTATACAGATTATATACAGGTTATACCTTAGGTTCTCTTATGTGCCTGAAGTTGTTACAGGACATCTGAGCAGATAGGAGCAGAATCCAGATTTTCACTGATTTAACCTCCTATGGCAACTTGCTGCTCCGTGTTAAGTTAAAATTACCTTAAAAAGCCAGTCCCACCACAGAGCTGACCATTATTTTCTTCTTAATAATCAGCTTGGAATTTTGTATCAGTTTTCTAATCTATTGATTTTTTTAAAAAAGCTTTAATTGATTGGACTTTAGCTGGTATTTCATAAAGGGCCTTTTCAATTTTCTAGCTTTCATTTTTGATATTAGAAACAGTTATTTTGACATTCAGTTTATGTAGAAAAATTAATTTTTAATGTTCACCTTTTGTACTCTTATTACTTGCCGTCTAAGAGTTGTGTTCAATTTAAAACCTTCATCTGGCTTCTCTACCATGCTGGCACTGAAAAATCTAGTCTCATGGTTTCTCATAGCCTGACAAGGTTTAATAGTGTGGTAGCTGAACTTATTTTGCTTATTATTAAGTCTGAGTAGTCTTCTTCCCCTGGCCCCAGATGGAGTCAGGAAGGGAAATATTTTTAGTCACAGCCTCTTTACTGAGAACCGGCCACCCAAGTAAATGAGCCTATGTGCTATTGATGGATATATTTACCTTTTAAAACTTTTAACACGAGTAATAATAGGTGTTTTTATTATTAATTTTTTGTTTATTGCTTTATTGTATGTTTTTATTGTTAACTTATTATTTGCTCATTCATTAGGAATTGAGAAGACTTCTGAAGAAGGAAGACAAACCCCTTCTGATGATGTTCTATGCCCCGTGTAAGTAATCCAGTAATGTCCTCTCACATAATCTTATCTTCACTCAGAGATGCCAGATGACTGGTAACCTCCTGTGTGCTTCCTTCAATAGATCCCTTCCTATCTCATCTTTACCGTTCAATTCCTTGTGCTGTTCTGACCAGTTGTCTTCAGTTTCCCCTAGATGTCCATTTCTTGCTTTTTAGAGTATCAATATTTTCTTCCTTTATCTTAGTCTTACCTCTTTCTCTTGTGATGATGACTCAGTCATTGTTCTTTCGAGATTTATCCCATTTCTTTCTAAATTTGTACTATACTAGACAAGATAAGATATGAAGAAGAAATAGGAAGAAATAATGTAAATGTTAAAAGGTCTTTTTGGCCCTTTGGCCTGTATGGAACTACAAGCATGTGTGATAAGCTGGTTCCACACAAGCAGAATTTTTCAGAGGAGACCTTGGCTCTGAAAGAAGCAACATGAACCCTGACTAACTGCAGGGGGATGAAGCAATGCACTGATCAGGAGGAAGAGACTCTCCTGTCCCTTTCAGGAGTCAGTCCAGAGGTTCCTCCCCATGTTGGCAGGAATATCTCAAGCAAGCAAGAGTTTCATCAGAGCAGGGAGGAAATAATGCATTGGAGCCATTGCATTTCTTTTGTTAGCCTTATATTACTATTATCTTGTCGCTGTATTGACCACTTATTCCTACATTTTTAAAATTTCTAACCATTTTTTTCCTCCATTTCTTTGTGACCAAGAGGCTTTTTAGCTCTTTAAAATTGAGTGTTATTGCACTAGAGTTCTTCTTCAGCTGGAAAGTAGAGGAGCCAGGAGAAAAGAAATGTGTGACCTAACCTAGGAACGCCTCCCAGCTCTGCCCTGATGCTAAAATTGTTGTTAGTTATCACTGGCAATTTGCTGGTTATTTTTCTTATGAGTGTCCCATGGCAGCATTTTCTGGTGATACTCGGTGGTTTTCCGTAGTAACTGTTGCCTGAGAGGCCATTCTACCCTTTTTAATCTCATCTGAGTACTGCTAAGACGGCCAGAAGTACCCAAGACTTAGATCACAAAGAGCATGTCTTTTCCTTGACTTAAGTTTGCTGCAGCTTTGTGCCTTCAAATCCTGCTGCAACAGGCCTTATGTGGCCCAGCACGGGGCACTGTGACTCCCGGGCACTGCAGCTGCCTTAGCAGGAGGTGATGCGCCTGCTCTGCCCATAAATTGTCTCCTCAGGGAAGGTGCCAGACCAGAATGCTCTCAGAATTTACCCAGATCACGAATAATTGTTTTCCACAACTAAGACTCTTCATGAAACACACCTTATCTAACCCTTTGTTCTCTTTGAACCATTCCCCCAGCAACCCTCCTTTCAGCTTCTCTTCTTTTGAAGCACCAAAATACCTGCTAGTCTTCAGTGCTGTGCTTCTGCTGCTGCTTTATAGGCTGCTGTGAAGCAAGCCTCCTTGTAAGGCTTTTTTTTACCCACCCCACTCAATTTCACAATTCTTCACTCCCTCATCTTTTATTTAACACACCAGCCCATCTGACTTGGTTCCTGTCCAATTTTTCTTTTCTTACTCCTGTTCCACTTACTCAAGACAAAAGGCATCTAGCAGTCGCATTGAAAGACTGGCTTTGGTAAGCTGAGGTCCCGGGTTGCTGTCTTTTGGTACAGGTGTAACATTTCATAGTCAAGAGCAGCAAATCAAGGCTGCTCACTGAAGGGATTTCTGCTTTGTTGCTTTTCATGGGTGAGTCAGGGAGATGTTTGGCAAGAGAGAACATCGGAGTCTTTGTCAAGGAGGGTATGAGCAAGACAGCTACAGTATTTCTCAGCTTTGGAAGCAAGAGATTTTAGAGTCCCCGTGGCAGATTCATAGGATGTGGGCTTCGTTATTATGTACCAGTGCAGAGGGAGGCAGAAGTGGCTGCAAACTTAAATGTCATTTCTTTAATATTTCAGGAATGCTTGGCCTGGGTGAAACTACTCAGAGCAAAGGCATGCTTCCCTTAAAAGATATTACCTGCCATTTTGAGACCATTCATTGTATTTTTTGGCCTGTATTATAAAGTCACACAGCACTAAATATGAAAAATTGGGTATTCTTGCAGGCATTTAGATTTATTTGTAGCGTAACTCTCTCACAGATGGCTCCTGCAGGAAATGGTCTGGATTTAGCAACAAAAAGGAGCTTTTTATAATGTCATTGTGCTTGTAGTGCTTACACTGTGCATATAATGCCTTTAAAATGGAATTTAAAATGTAATTGTTAAATACTGAAAAACTAATATGCATTTGATTAAAAAAAAAGTCAAAATGCAAGAATAAATACTAGAAGAAAATGGAAGTTTTTACATTACTTTGTATGTCTGTGTAGGAGCATATGTTGCGTGATAAATTTCTGAACTATATAATGCCGAAATGCATGGGTAAGAGAAATTGTATTGAAGTGGGTTTGGAAGGAGCGGACTTGAAGCAGCAGCTGAATTAGGAAGAGAGGGATGATGTGTGTGATAGTTGGTGTGGGAGGCTAATCCATGCCTGTAATCCAGGATGAAATCCAGGGAATTGGAGGAGGTGGAAGAGGGCAAGTGAGGAGGGATATGAGTAGTTGGGGATGTTTGAGGCCGTGGGCTCTTGAAGAGAACAGAGACCAAGAACCTTCAGAAGATGCAGTGTTAACTCGCATCTTTTGATGTCTGTCCAGTGGTTTGGATGAAATTCTGAGACCTCAGTAGGTCTCAGATGAGCGATTTGTGCCTATCAAGAAATCATCACTTTAACCAGCTCTAATTTAATGACCTTGTGGGCCATTTGAGCAGAGAGATCAAAAGCGACAAGACCGTAGCAATAAGCGTTCTCTTTCCTCTGATTAAAGGCTGTTCTTCCCACACGTGCTGATATGATCCTAATCCAGTGGTTGCAAAATCTGTTCCTCCTTTCTTGGAAGATATTTTCAAAACTCTTGCAGCTGTTTCTTCACCAGAATATAAATGTTGATTATTGTCCTGTGGTAGACCCAAGAATCTCTGCAAAAAGCCTGTGCTTGGCTGCTGCCTCCTTTCTTTTGCACTGTCTGCATTTCCTTCCCTTTCAACGCACAAACACGTATTTTACTTGGCAAGGGGAAAACTTGCTGGCTTACAAGGTGATTTATTCTTAATCTTCTTAGCCACAGCGTCATCAAACAGTGTTTAACACGTTCCAGCTATACATGAGTGGTCTTCCTCGCTGCTCTTTTCCTCAGCATGTGAAGTTCATGCCTTAGAAGGGGTGTTACTGCTTCCGAGTTACTGGTTTCCTAAAATTAACATAGCACTGCTTAACTTATCATAACTTATCACGCTTCTTTAATGTTTGGGAAATGTTTCAACTTTATTTTCAAAAACTTTTAAGTTGCGCTGATTCTGAAGTACCTCATTTCTCTGCCCCATGTAAAAGATCCTATTCCAACTTTTTTGGTTACTTGACTTCTGAAATAAGGGGGAGTTTCATCTTGTGATCCACTCTGGGCTTGACTCAGAGCCTGGGGAGTATGAGGTGATGGAGACGTTCTTCTCCACATTTGGTCTGAGAAATTACTTCAAAATGGAATAGCATGAAAACATGCAAAAAATAGCTGTAAGTAACATAAAGTAACTTGCTTAGAAATTAATAATCTGAAGTATTTAGTGAAATATGTTTAAATTTTTTATATATATGTATATAAATGTAGTTTCAGGTTTTGGAACACAGTGAGATTCTGCAGAGTAGTCTGAATAGAGTTGCATGTTACTTACATTTATTATTTTTGTTTTAATCAGGGTGTGGTGTTTGTAAGAGAATGATGCCATCTTACCAGCAGGCAGCCACAGAACTGAAGGGTAAATATGTAAGTGAGAAGATAAGATTTATATAAATGTAAAAAGTTGTTTTAACATAGTATTTAGTGCTGCAAATTAAAATATTCAATGTGGAGAATTTTTAAGCAAGCCAAGAACAAATAAGAGGCTGTTCCAGATTTCTTTAGGATTCAGTCTCTTTGGATTTTATTTTATTTATTTATTTTGAAAGGTAAAAGATGAGATATTGCTCATTTCCCTTTTAAATCCAGTGGCGTTCTTGCCAAGGAGAAAATGGTTCTAACCCTGTGTGGTTTTAAATAACTAGCTCCTATTTGGTGCGTTTATAGTCCTACTGTACTACTTTGGGTATGGATTAAGAAATATTTACTATACTAGGGTTGATCAGCTTAATGTTTCATGAAAGGGATTGGTAATAATTAATCTGTATGTTCACTGGAGAGTAACAGTGTCATGGCAGGGGATATTTGTTCTCTGAGTCAGCATGGTCAATATTTGTAGCAGGTTGAAATGAAATTAAGTTTTGACCCTTAAAATCCATTAACAGTGGATATTCACAATAATTTAGTTACCTGTTTGAACTAGTAAGGCACATTGTTTTGTTTAATCAAGTCAAAGGCACTCGATTCAAGATTTTATAATGTGCTTTATGTATAACTTAACACCAGTAATTCCTGAACAACCAAATAAATGGGATTGCTGTTTCATGGTTTTGTCTGAATTTGGTCTGGATCTACCTGTTATCCTTCGCCTTGGAGTTCACACGTTTTCTCAGGAGAGGCAGCTTGTGGTGAGGCTAAAGATGAAGCACTGAGATTCATTGCCAGGACACTTCTGATCAGCACATTGCATAAGCGCTGAATGTTGTCAGACTTCCCATGTTCTCCCTTTTTAAATTTTTTTATTTAACTGTTTTCTCTAAATCCTTGTATGCTGCGGGCTAAATTCAGTGGGAGTTGTTCAAATCTATTTAGGGCACAGCACAAGCCTCAGAGATGTTTTTAGGGCTGTTTTGATCTGGCCAGGCAGTGTTCATGTTGGATCTCACCGCAGCGGAAGGTTCCCTGAGTCCTTGGGAAGTTGATTCCTGTTTTGCAGGGCAGGTGCCTCGTCAGGCTTGTATGGGGGATGGGAATTAGAAAACTAATCAGCTACACATGTAATGTGTGAGGGAAGGCTCACCAAAGAGCTCTGCCTTTTCCTCTTATCTCTAGCCTTGCCACAGCCACATGCAGTTTGGTTTTATTAAATTCAGGCCAGAAAATGTAAGCTTCAGGTCTTCTCTAGTTTGTTTCTTTTTTTCCTGCTTTTGGGAATGGTCTCTCTTGTGCTGGAAGCAGCACAGGTCACAGATGGGTTGTGTCAGGGTGCTGCTTGTGCAGGATCAGTTCAGAGGACAGCCCAGTTAGGCCACACTCCCTGCTTTCTTGCACAGAAACTGGTCTGCTGGTCTAAATTTGACCTAATTCACTTCCTGGGTGGGATGTGTGTTCAGTTTGCCTTTTTTGGAAGTAAATGTGCTGTACCTCTCATGGAGTATCCGTGGCTTCCCTTAAAGTCATGCTGGTCAGGTGCTGCTGGACAGTTTATGGTTGGCTTGAATGAGCCAAGGGTTTGTTTTATCCTGACCTGTCATTAACTGCCAGAAAGTGCAGGCTCAAAAGTGGTTTGGGTTATTATATAGCTGGAAATGAAATATAGTGTTGCCTACTTAATAGGTTGTAAAATTGGAAAGGTGAACTGTACCTGCAGCTGGCTGCTGTGCTCTTCTGGGGCTGGTCGTTCCTTGTCAGTGTGGTTACTGAAAGGAAACCTGGAAGGCATTTATAGTGTGTCATTAAGCTGAGAATTTGCATTAAATTGCACCCAGCATGAAAGAAAAAGACCAACTCCAAATCAGAAAGAGATTGATTTATTGTATCCTTGAGACGAGAGATTGCGGTGGTTGGAGCAGGGTGGACTATGGTCCGGGACTCGCACTGTGGACCCAGTGCAGGGAGGGCTGGTGGGCAGCAAAGTGCTTAAGCACCTGCCTAGTTCCTGCTGGCCTCCTGAGCTCTGCTCAGCTAAGGCAGGTTAGGGGGTGCACTTGAGTGCTTCCTTCTTTGGTGCTTGTCTCAGCTTCCTTTTCATAGAAATCTGACGTTTTAGAAGCACAAAGCTCCTCCTTGCTTCAGATGTCAAATAAAGGAAGCCTTTGTTTAATTTAGCTGTTAAACTGCCTTCTAGGAAGGATTCAAGTGCTGATATAATGCTCCAGTTATGGATTTACCCTGTTAAGAGAAGTATGAAGGAAGTGAGAAGGGGGTTTAGAGGAGAGCGAGAGCCGACAAGACATGACCAGCTAAGAAAGCTTCAGAGTCTATCTGGATTATAGGTTGCTAGGTGGAGAAGTGTTGAAATATCTTTTGTGTCACTGCAGAGGTGAAAGGGATAAACTGATCCTCATGTCTACAGGGGGAATTTTAAGAGGCAATGGGCTTGAATTGCATTCAAGGTCGTTCAGTCATTTGCTAAAAGCAAATTAGCCAAACATCTAGGTGGAGTGGTTGAGGTATGCAGGGAGGATGCTGGCTTGGGGTGGGACCTGTGCTTTGCTGCTCTCTGCCAGCCTGATGTTACATGACATTATAGGCCTGCCAAAGCAATGGCATAATTTTACTCAATAAACCGAATCCTCCTGTAATGAGATTTATGTGGGAAAGGGTGGAGGGAAGAGGAGGCTCAAGGGGTGGTTTTTTGTTAGGAAACTCTAAAGAAAGTGTTAGAGTAAGTTTGGGCTTGCTTTGTTACTCTATCAGAGCCCTTGGGGCATAAAACAGATGTAAACCTGAGACAACAGTGTGTCCCTCAACACCAGAATCCAGTTTCTTGACTTGCATCAATCGTGGCAGTTCTGTTGGACAAGGTAAAGATGTAAAAGAGCATCTGAAATGTCCAAGAGTGCCCATATAAGACATATGGGAATTTTCTGATATTTCATTACAAATGTTATGCCTGGGAACCTAATGTATATGAGGAAACTAGTTAGTGATCCTGATTTTTTTACCATATAAAGGAACTGCTGGATTTTAATGCTATTGCATTTACCTATCCTCAAGCAGTGACAGGAAAGAAAAGGGAAGAGGAGACCTGGGGATAGGTAACTCATGAACTAAAGCTACTTGGTGGTTAGAATGGCAAGGAAATTTTAAAATAAGAGATTTGACCAGCCATTACTAATCCTGTTTCTGTATTCCTGTCCTTGAAGTTAGCTGTTCTTTATTCTTCCTCAGGATAGGAAAGGAAAAACAAAATAGCTTTTGGTGTCTTTCTAGTGTGCTCTTAGAAAAGGTTGTTCTTCAAGCTAGGATTTTATACTCTTAAGATTTATTTGCAGAGTCTGAGCATATTTGGTTGGTCTAAGCAATTTTCTGCAACGAGGAACCTAGTGTTAAATTTTGAAGTGGTATTTTAGCTGTAAGGAGAAAATCCTGTTTTGGGAGGAGGGAAGGAGGAGGAGTTTAGGTTAAGAATCTGAAGGTCTAAATCATTTTAGCAGCAATGCCCTTAAAACTAAGTTAATCTTGAAGTTGTATCTTGGCAGTGGGCTGGTCGAACAGACTGTCTATGAATCCTATGAATAGGGAGCGACCTCAGATGAGGGCATGTCTGGAGGATTGGGGTGGAGGTAGGAAAGGGAAAGGTGAGCCCTGTTTTTTGGGTGAAAGTGAAAAAGCTCAGGTAAGTTAATATATTAATGTAGGGCTATTTAGAGACCTTTTGGTATTGCTGTTAGTGAATGTTTTTTTAAAAAAGGGGAGAGATACTGACAGGGTAAGCAGGGGTTACAAGGCGGTTGGTGTGTGCGTTCTGTTACTATTTCTTCCCTTGCACAAAATTAGAAAAATTTTAGTATGTTTTAGAGTCCCCCTTGCTTTACAGCAGTGTGAATGAAATCAGTATCTGCCCAAAGTTCAGTTGTTTTTTAGTTCTTTTTCAAGCTGTTATTTTACTGCTGTCTTAAAAGAATCACTACAACTTTTCCCTTTTTTCTTTTTTCCAGGTACTTGCAGGGATGAATGTTTACTCTGCTGAATTTGAAAGGATAAAGGAAGAATACAATGTCCGGGGATATCCTACAATCTGTTATTTTGAGTCAGTTATGTTTTGCTACTTTAGAAATTATGCACTTAGCTAAAATTGTATGTTCTTATCTTCCAAGGCAAGTTCTAAAACTGTTTTTGTTCCTTTAATAGGAAAGGAAAATTCCTGTTCCACTTTGAGAACTATGGTGCTACTGCGACAGACATAGCAGAGTGGCTGAAAAAGTAAGACATTGAACTTTGTGCACTCCACCTCTTTTGTACTCTTTGGTATTTGCAGAATGTAATGGTTTAGAACAACCATCTCTCCCTCGTTCCCTCTGCTCAGGAGAGCAAACAAAACTGCCCAACTGAGATTAGTTAAGCTAGGACAGAGAGATTACCTAAAACTTTGGTTTTTAGGATGTATGCCTTGCATTTTAACAGTTGCATTTCATGTGTAATAGGGGACTGTGTACTGAATAAGTGTAGATAATATGGGTTTCATTTCCACTAAAAAATGCCAACATAAATTTCCAATAATCTCTGGTACCCAGACACGATAGATTGCAAGAGGTCTGGGTTTTGCTGAACTTCTAGAATGTATACATATCAAGTGAGCAATTCTCATTGGTTCTTTGGCCTTTAGACAGAGCCTTAAGAGTGTCTCAAGTAGAGACAAGTTCACAGTGCTCTGCATTGCAAGTCATTTTGAAAAAAAGCTGCTTCCTGTCATGATGTGGAGTGGTGTTGAAAGCATTTTGTTCTACCTAAAGACAGCTATTAGCAGACATAAATATTTTGGGTGTTGAATGAGCTGGTGGGCCTAGCAGTTGAGAGGGCAGTTGAGAATAGTGTGTGCAAGGGATAGTCATCCTCAGGTGGTGCAAAGGAGCACATGGGCAGTCAAGTTTGTAGAGCAGCTGGAGAGTGCTTAGGTTCTGTGGTGGTGGAGAGTTGCCTTCAACAGGAAGCCAAGTTCCTCGTCTCTTTGGCATTAGATCATCTTTGAAACCCTCCCTAGTTTGTTGCAGCCAAGGAAATAATTTTAAAATGAGGCCAGCATGGGAAGCAAAAACATAAGAAGGAATAGCTGATTGCAAACCATATGGCTTAGCAAAGCTGATTGAAGAGTGAAGATGTTTCACTTTGATAGTGAGGAGAGGGTAGGGATGTGCACATAGTCACAAGCAGCACAGGGTCGTCAGCAGGAGCAAGCTAAGGGATTCAGGGCTGGGGATGTTCCAGCAGACTGGGGCCCAAGGGTGCAGTGGTGGTAGCATCCCAGTTAGCCTCAGGAGGCACAAATACAGGGCTACAAGGATGATCAGGGGCCTGGAACATCTGCCCTGTGAGGAAAGACTGAGAGAGCTGGGTCTGATCAGGCTGAAGAAGAGAAGGCTGAGGGGGGACCTGGTCAGTGTATACAAATACCTGATCAGTGTCTATCAATACCTCAAGGGAGGGAGTGGGGAGGATGGGACCGGCCTCTCTTCAGTCGTGGTCACCGATACGACTAAACAGCCACAAACTGAAGCAACAAAAGTTCCGCAGGAACTTGAGGAAAAATTTCTTGACAAGCAAGGGTGACAGAGCACTGAAACAGGTTGCCAGGAGGCTGTGGAGTCTCCTTCTCTGGAGATCCTCAAAACTCGCTTGGATGCCGCCCTCTGCCACATGCTCTAGGTGACCCTGCATGTGCATAAGGATTGGACTAGATGATCCCTAAACATCTCTTCCAGCCTTAAAGGTTCTGTGATTCTGTGCTGAAGGGGAGTTCTGCCCTGTGGATCAAGGAGAAGAAATTTGCCTATTGTCTTTAATCCTCTTCTGGGATGTTTAGCTGTCACATGTGAACGGTCAATAGGGCAACTGCAGCAGCGCTCAGGAGATGGTCAGCCCTTGGAGCAGGGATATGCGGCTTCATCACCTGTGCTTTATTAGGCTGTCTGTTCTGCGAGGATGTGGTTATCTTTTGGCTACCACACGTGAAATATTAGATGCTTACAGTGGGTTTTTCCCCTGTCTGCCCACGTAATATCCAGATAATCCCTGTAACAATGCACTGCCTTTATATCAGTGCTGTGAGAGCAAGTGAACAGAGCTACTGGAGGCAACGCAGAACAGCTGCAAGCTCTTTCCAATGATAATCTCTGCTAACAAGCCACTGTGGGCTTTGGCTGGTATTTCAGCAAGCCAGAGTTAAAGACAGCTGTTAGTCTTCACTTAGTGTTCAGTGCAGTCTTATTAGTTTCCCAGAACATGATCTGAGCAGTAGCTCTCCTGCCACTGTTTTTAAGGAAACCATGTTCAGAAATTATGCATGCTTGGGTTTTGCCAGTAAATGATGTTGCAATTAAACCTGTATAGGGGGTAAATCTGCCACATACATAATATATTATTCTGAGGAATCTTTAGTACAAGAAGACAAATGGTATTGCAAGGGTTTGGGGAAAGCTAAGGTTGTAATCAGGTGGCTGCAGGGTGTATGTTCTGTACTTCAGAGTAGTGTAGCACTGAAATGCTTACCAGATAACTCTAGCCAGAATTAAACATTATCATATATATTTTTTTCCTATAATACTGATATCTTGATCAATGTCATCTCGCCTCCATTTGAATGGGGAGACAGACTCCCTTTTCCGAAAAACAGAGAAATATGGTGAAACAGGCAGGAGCTATGGGCCCATGTATGGGCTGTTTGCCATGTAGAGGAAGAAGTGAACCCAGCAAAGATGAGCCATATGAAACGAACTGTTTGTGGACACATAGTAGGCACTACAAAGGAGCAGCTGCTTTCCATCTCCCCCTTCTTCCTCTTCTTTTTCTTCAAAATGGTACTGGTGAACTGCTGAAAGCAGTTAGCCCATGTTAATCTTTTTAGTGGAGCAAGGCAGGGTAAGTTATACAAGTGAATAAAGGTTAGAAATAGTTAAAATATGGAAAGGATGTCAGACATATATTTTTTTCATGCTCTTTTCTCTCAGAACAAGAGCTGAAAGTTTGGGCTCCAACACCTTTCCTGCTGTTTACTGAAGGTGTGTTTTTCTGGAGCTGAAGTGCCCTAATGCATCAGTCTACAGCTTCTTAACCCCTCTTATCTTCCTAATAGACACTGGCTACTATCTAGTGAAGCTTCAGTTATTTTTAAGAGGCAATAGAGAGAAACCATCATATGTTCTTACTCTGGCAGACATTATTATTAGCACAAAAGATGCTATCTTGTATGTACCACAGTTCTTCTCCTAAAATCGCTCTATTTGCACGGTGATGTCGACCTGGATGGCAGGCAAGCTACACAGCTCTTACAATGTCCAACAATGCTTAGTTTCCCTAGCTGGGATTTATTTTATTTGGTTTTCATGGCCTTCTTCTGGGCACTTATTTAGCACCAACTACTCGGCTAAATCAAAAACTTGTTCTTTGTTCTTAATTAGTTCTTGATGGCTCTTCCAGAGTTCTGTCATCCTGAATTGGTCTTTAGGTGTTCAATTTGCTTTGTCTTGGTTTTCAATGACACTTTAGATTTTGCTTGTTGTCTGCTGCAGGCCTTGAGGTGATTCTTAGCAGCTCCTGTGTAGGCTTATTAGCATGCACAGCATTTTAAATTGGGCCATTTGAATAAACATCCTGTGCCCTGTTTTACAAATTCCTTACTGAAATAGGTCAGGTCAGGCCCCGCTTTCGGCTTTCTCCTGGTACGTGATGGTGACAGGGTCCATGTTCATCACTCTCTGCCTACTCTTACGAAAGAAACTCCCCTTCCAAATTCATTAAGTATCACGATGCTCTCTGGAAAGCCCTCATTCTGTCAAGATGCTTGAAGATTATCCCTGTCTCCTATAGGTTTGTTGAGGAAGCAAAGTGATTGTCAGCTAAACGTTGTGACCACAGCATCGTAGAGCACCAACCTTTGCACTGTGGGTTCCCTCTGCCATTTAGGTAGTGAACTTGGGTAGTCAGGGACCTTCCTCCTTTTCCTTATTTCCTACCTGGCAGAATGTAGCTCTATTCCCTATTTTTTTTCCTCTTGGTTCATTTATCATAAGTATACATTACTATTTTGCATGGAATGCTTAATATTCTTGAATCATACCTACTGCCAACATCAACAGAATTTGCTATCTCTTCTCTGTTGTGTCTCTACTGCTTTTTATCAAGCTAGGCTTTCAGCCTAGAAATAAACAAGGCAGAATAAATGAGTTACCCTCCTCTTGCCATTTCTTGTTCCAGGCAGTTAACACAAGAATACATTTTAATCAAAAATAGTACATATACTTTCGCCAAAGATGGGGCCACATCCAGACCTGAATTTTGCCAAGGAATTTGGGGAATTCCTTTAGGGTATTTGGGGCTCATTACTACAACTGTCAGGGGTCATACAGCTGCGTAGTCTGACTCTAAATGTTTCTATGTTTGGGTGTATTTTGTACAAAGTACTTTATTAAACGTCCAATCAGTGTAGTTTAGCTCAGATCTGCCAATTTCTCTTTTTGATAATTGCAATACATTTGTAAAATTAGTAAAAGCAAAGAGTGCCACGTGAGTATTGCAGAGGAGCTTGGATTTGGTTTCCAGATCTGTCAGGGTGTCTTTGAGCAGTCATTGTAATCTCTGGCTCTGATCCATCCACGATAGTTAAGCTCCCATGCAATCTTAGTGGAGTCAGTGGCACGTGTTGCTTATCTTTTAGATCAAGCACGTGGCCAAGTGGCTTTGCTGAATCGGGCCTGCAAGCCCCTCCAAATGCAGCCACAGGGTCCTAGCGGTATTGAGAATAAACCCAATATGTGCCTGGGGAAATGCCCCCCGAGAACAGGTTGCTGGCAGGCAGACCACGGCCCTGACACTGCTGCTCTCCCTTTCTCAGCCTTATTCCTGCTGCAGGGAGATATTCAAGGTGGCTGCTTAGATTGGCTCTTTCTGCACGGTACTTTTTCCTTTCATTTGTGATGGCTCCTGTGAACTACTAAGTGCAAACGTTGTGGAAATAGGGAGCATCCTGCTGAGCAGGTTAAAAGACTAATAGAAAATGTGTCTGAGTTTTATAATATAATAACAAAGCAGTCTGTTTATCTCCCCACTCTATCCCCTTCCATTTTTGATATGTCCTTATGAGCTTCCTGTGGATTCTTTTTTCTTCTTCCCCTGTTTTTATCTAGGTTTCAGTGCTTATCAGTTCCGAGCGGGAGCAATTATAGAAGCCGTTTAGTAGGGATAGAATGTCATGTATTGGCATTTACACAAAGTGGTTTCTTGCAGAATTACTTGCAAAAATGATTGCTGTTCAGCAGCAAAGAGCTGCTTTTCAGCTGTGTCTATTTGTCTTGCAGTCCACAGGCACCTCAGCCCCAGGCTCCAGAGACTCCTTGGGCAGATGAGGAAAATGTAGTTTATCACCTGACTGACGAGGACTTCGACAAGTTTATAAAAGATCATTCATCTGTGCTTGTGATGTTCCACGCACCATGTGAGTTTGCTTTTTCTATTCCATACCCCGATACGAATGCTTGCTAGTAAAATCAATAATTTTCTCTGCCGGTTTCTTGGAGCTGTGAATCCCAGGTCCAGGCTTCTCTCATTTGTGTTGATTCTTAAATACACAGGCATTAAATGCTTGTGAAGTTGCTGGCTTTAAGTTGAGGAAAGAGCTCAAGAACTAAGAGCCTCTGAACCTCTGTTGGCTGCTAATGCTTCAGCTGAGCGCTGGAGTGTCTCGCTTCCCCTCCTCTGCTGCAGTTCCTGTTCCCTGGCAATGTATGGGGTGATGGCCACTGTACATTGTGATAAAATGTGGCAGAACTTCACTGCAGCTTATGAAATGTGTTTACTCATGGTTTAACTAGTTGCACCTGCATAGCTGACCCTGCAGATCCTTGGTACTTGCAGTTGAAGGGTCAGACGCAAGCGCACTGTGTGGGCTGGTGCGCAGCTTGTCTCCTCTCCCCGCTGTGCTGCCAGCTGCATTTAGATGAGATGTTCATTTTCGTGGTCACAGATTTAAGGCTAGGGCTCTGGAGGCTGCCTGTGTGCTCACAGCTGAGGGGCTTGGCACGGATGCTGAAATCCTGCTCCTCTTTAATCCAGTAGGAGTTAGCACTTTTTTGAAGATCTGCCCGTGAGACTGATTCGAAAAACACACCATAATGAATTTTGCTTTTGCCTAATGAAATGTCTAGGGATTTGAGCCATTGAAGCAGGCAACTGACTGCTGTTTTGTTGCTCTGTTAACTGGATTGTGCTTAATAATGAAAGCAGGACTGGACATAAACACCTAGTTTGAAAACGAAGGCATGAGTAGCAGAACTGATGAAGCCGGTTTGCTAAGGGGTCACCCTTCGCTACCCAAATCCTTCCTTCTCCTGGGCTTCCTGGTGTTCCTGGCGTGCAGGAGGCAGCAGGCGCTGCTGCTCGTCTGGGGCTCCTGCCTTGCTGGTTTGGTTGGGCAACTGCTGCCAAAGTTTGGGAGAATGGAGGGAGGGCAGGAATCAACAGGCTGGTCCTACCACCCTTAACCCCTTAAAAAACCCAATTAAACATATACACACAGTTACAGCTAAATTTCTAGCAAATCCAAGGTAGTTATGAAGCTGAAGATTATTTGTTTTATTTATTCTTCTTTAAACAGGAATAGTATAATTTTAGGGATAAAAATGCTATGTGACCCCTTTGGAAAGGAGGGGCACTTGTAAGCAGGTACTTTCTGTTTTAAGGGGCATTCTGTGCTAAGGTACCTTATTCCTTTTGGCAAATGTTTCAAAAGAAATCAGAACTGGGCTGCTGTAGTCGTCTTATAATGTGTTCCAGCTGCTCAAAATTGGAATAAAGAGTGTTCCTTGCTGGAACAACTCCATTCTTAAAGGCAAGCAGAAAATTTGGGCTATGTATGCCTTAATACATTTAAATTACATTCAGAAAATTTCTGCGGAAGAGAGGTAGGTGGTAGTGACATGCCTGCGTGTGGAATCCAGCTTGCAAATGTGCAAGGGATCTGCTCTTGTAAGAATCCTCTGCGGACATCCTCAGCAGAGAGTGGGCTTGCAAGCTAATTAACAACAGGCAGCTATCATAGGCAGTTATCTCCATGATTAAGAGATCTTCTCCAAGCACTTAAATTTGCTAGTGGAGTCACCTTATGAATATTAGGACATAAATTAATCTAGTAAAAGCAGTGGTAAAGGCAGAGGATGTCTTCTTTGCTTTAACCTTGCTAAAGCTTAGATTGTGAGAGTATCTTCTTTTAAAATTAACTATTAATTTTAAAAAATCTTGAGGAAAAACATACAAAATAGGCCAAGAAGTTAGGATACACTTCTGTGTAATTAAGAATAAATAAGGGGATTTCAGCACTGGGCTGGAATTAGCAAATACTTAAAACCCATGCTGGGTTCACGTGGCTTGGAGTGGGGATTTTTGGTTGTTTTTAATGTGCTATAAATCTTGTGTTTATGAGAAGTTCTTTTACCAGAGGCAGAATTATGGCACTGATGCTTTAATTACAGTTTCTTAGTGGGCTGGGTAAGGCACTAATAGACTGTAGCATTAAAAACGTCTAGGAAATTCCCCTTTCCCCCACCTTAGTGCAGGAGATGCAGATAGAGTTGAGCCAAATATCCCTGGTAAAATAGCTCTTACTTGCAGACTTGGGCACCGTGGTGATTATGGCCAACTGTATCTCCATGCCTGTGGCTGCTGGAGCTTGTCCCCAGGGATAACACTGTAATTATTTACAATCAGCTGCACTTACCAGCCCCATTAAAGATGTCACCGCATTTCCATGACGTGCAGCCTAGTGGAACTTGGTGCAGCTAGAGCAGCTCCGTGCAATTTAGATGTATCAGGAAAGTCTGTTACATGCAGCTTGCTCCTCTTGATATCAAAGATTTACAGCTTTTCTGAAAGGGCTTAGAACAGACATGAAATAGCAGATAGGCTGTTTTGAGTCATTACCGCTGGCCCTGAGAAACGTGGGCGAGTGGGTGGAGGGGATGAATTCACTCTGCAGGTCACTTGGGACATGAAGCAGGATTTTTAACCTTCTGAAACTCTTTTGTTAAAGCTCTTAAGAGGATGTTCTGCAAATCTGAATGTTTAGAGTAGGTAAATGATAACTCGGGCAGCTGCGAGTTTGAAGGCTCTTCTCCTCCCTAGCTATCTGAGCAGAGCGTGCATTGCTGCTCACCCTTTTATTCAAGCATTTTGCAGGCTTTTGTAATTGCTGGTGGGTATCTTGTTATCCCAGGTATATCTGAGCATCCTGAGCTGTGTTCAGCATAGCTCTTCATCACCGAACACCTGATGAAGTGGTTTACTTATTGCAGGCTTCTGAAGTGTGTTTTTGTGTGTGCTGTTATACCTAGAGGCTTTGGTTATGAACTGGGATCTCTTGGCACGTCCTGTTGTACCAAAGGAGAACAAATAAGTGGTGCTTGCCCTCCCAGGATTTGACTTTTTTTTTCCATGGATTGATGATTTTTGCTAATACAAAATGGCACGTTTCTGTTAACAGTCCTATTTCTGAGACTGTGACAGAAGATGGACCATTGTGAACAAGCATGGATTGGCCTCACTGTGGAATTGGAGCACACCAACCAAAGCCACTAGGACACAGGGGCACCTCTACAGCTTATTGTAGTCTTTTGGCAGCAATGGAAGTAAAGGCTCCATACGTGCCTCATTGTTCATGTTATAGGCTGATCTTTTTCTTTAGATGCTCAAAATGAGAGCTGGATTCTGAATGTCTCTGAATGTGGTGTATATTGCTAGTCACATGTTATTAAATGCTTTAGTGAGATAGGGACTTGATGGAACTTGCACTTTCAAAACACTTGAGCACAAAACAAGTTTTTTTTTTAATTTTTTTCCTTTTGTCCATGTCAACCTATTTGCTGAGTGAAGTGCAATTTTTAAAGTAATGTCAAGAAACTTGCTGAATTAGTGGAACCTGCTGTCTTTTTGGATTGGGTTTTGTCAGAGGAACAAAAGCTCCATGAATTTCCCTTCCTTCTTTTTTTGCAGCATTTCTCTCCAAAGTGTGATCTTGGTCCTGCACAAAATAAGTCTAACCAAGTCACTGATGAGTCGATTCAAATGCTGCTTGAAGGATGTTTAAAGTTGTGGATTGAAGTTAAAATCAATAGAGAAATAGGTTTTGAGAGTGTCTGCTTTTCATGCATAGGAGTTTCCTTAATACCAATGACACTGCTAACGCTTTAGAGTGCAGCTGTTCCTGTACCTCATGCGGAGTAACCTCCTGGCACCACCACGAGCTCCAGCTTCTCCTGATGTATTCAGCAAGTGCAGATCTTTGTAGGCAGGCCCTGTTAGTTATGAATGATAGAGAGTCTCTGATTGCTGGGGTTGTTTTTCCACCCAGAGGTAAGTCCACAATCCTGGAGTGATCATAGAATCATAGAATCATAGAATGCCGAAGGTTGGAAGGGACCTCAGAGGTCATCGAGTCCAACCCCCCTGCTCATGCAGGGTCACCTAGAGCACGTGGCACAGGGCTGCATCCAAGTGGGTTTTAAAGATCTCCAAAGAAGGAGACTCCACAACCTCTCTGGGCAGCCTGTTCCAGTGCTTTGTCACCCTCACAGTGAAGAAATGCTTCCTTAAGTTCCTGTGGAACTTCCGATGCTTCAGTTTGAAGCCATTTCCTCTAGTCCTATCCCTGCTCACCACTGAAAAGAGGCCGCCCCCCTCCTCCTCACTGCCTCCCTTGAGGTATTTATACACGCTGATCAGGTCCCCCCTCAGCCTCCTCTTCTCCAGGCTGAACAGACCCAGCTCTCTCAGCCTTTGAATGATGCCAAAGGTAATGGAGGGAAAAAGTGTAGCATGGCCCTACTATTACCAGGCATGTGCATTTGCTTTCTAAAGGACTAAACAGTAAGATGTTTTTTCCTTTCCTGCGGTGCTTCTGCTTTGTACATAAGCTTACAACTATATTAACCTGTCTTCTACCCATCTCCCTTCAGAGGACTTTTTCAGAGACATTATCTAACTGGCAATTACAGGACCTAGGATTAGAAAAAAAAGTTGATGTCCTTACTGTGATACTGGAGCTATCACTGTTTTCCTTCCCAGATAAGGGAGGAAGGCAAGAGATACTCAGCCTCCATTCTTTCTCCTTAAATTCTCTTGGAATCTGATTTGAAGCTGCAGCCCTGATGCACCTCTTCTTACTCCCTTCTAATGGAAGGGAGTGCGAGAATAAATCTTGATGATAAAATGCATTGCAGTTTTGATGCTGTTGAAATGTCCATGAAATTCCTCAGATAATTTCTCTCCCTCCATAAACCAGCCCAATAAATTACACAGTTGATGCTTTCTAAAACCAAATACTCAGCTGTACAAGTTTTTAATTGCACTGGGAGCTGTTTTATCAATTCAGCTTTGAGAAAAACTTCACACCCTTCTTCCCTCCACCCTTCCATCCATTAAAACTCATGCTTTTAGCCACTTTGT